TCTCAGGTATAAAATAAATAACTTTATTAATTTAATATAATTTAATTTTTATACGTTAAATATAATAACGCTCAATGTATTCCAAAGGGGTATTACCCTTAGTATTAAATAACGGGACGTACAAACGGGATAATATTGACCAGCCGCTACTAGTAGCTATAATTAATATATTAGAGTCATTCGGGAGGTTGGGATTATTAAGGACAATGCTATAATTATTAGGGGCGGAAATTTAAGCTGGATCGTAAATAAAATTAATAGTATTAATTTACTTTAATCGATTGCAGAAATTATTAATAGCTTTAATATATTTATTGCATTATTTTTAAAAAGTGAAGTTAATATTAATTTTAAAATCGGCGAACAATTATTTTAATACAACGATTTCTTTATATAGTTTATCAATTTTAAACTTATATTAAAGAGCCATAATAACGAAGTTATTATAAAATTTAAAAATCTCCTTCCAAGATTCTTCCAAATCTTCCTCTACTCTCTAAGTGCGGTCGTAAGCTTCGATTACGTTATTGTAAAGTAAGCCGTTCAGAGCGATAATTACGTTGTAAAAAATAAGGATAATTGCAAGGGCGAAAGCGTATTCTATAATTGAATTCGAAGGAAGACTGGTAAGGGGATTACTATTAAAATTTATAAATACTTCTACGAAATTATTATAAATTGTTTAATTTGCGGGGTCAAAGACTTAAAGGGCTCTAACTATAGTAATTACAATAAAATTATTTATAATAACCAGGACGTCTGATATTAATCGCTAAATTAATCGTAATAATAATAATCTCTTATAATTACTATCTTTAAAGCAAAAAGAAAAAAGGGACTAGATACTTAATTAATTAACTCCTAACTCAGCCTAACAATAAGCTCGAATTTTATATTTATCCTATTAATAAGGGCCCAAATCTTCAATCGCTTAATTAATTAATTTCTCCTTTAAGTACGTATAGTGTAATAGTAAAGTATAATAAATTATTACGGGGTAAAATATTATTAGGTATAGGGTAAAATATACGTTATTATATAGAAGAGAGGAAAGGAAGGTATACGTAGAAGACTAGCTATATGGGCGAGAGCTCTAGCGGGCCAATCTGTACACGCGTATACGTGCAGCTGCACGTGACTGCTGTGCATATGGCTAGTGCGTATATAGCTCTGAGCTATAGTACCAACTCTAAGTATAGCACATAAAGCAGTCAATATAGTGTAGGAATGTTACAGCCTAGCTCTATAATAAGTATTATATATCCTAACCTATACGGAAGCTCAAAGAACTACGGTACACAAATTCCAAATTAATTAAAGTACCGTAAGGGAAATTGTAAAAGATCTACTCCCTAAATTAGTTACCCTTCACTAGCACTTTATGTAGTTACTAACCGATAATTATTTGGACTCTAATATCGAACTAAATCCAACCCTCAATACCTTTAACAGTTGTATTAGTGCTATCGATGGGATTTAAGTAGCCGCCTATATACCGCTACGGTAATAATTTTAGTATCGCGATCGAAAGGGTAATATTACCCAAAACGTATTTACCGCGGTAAAGTTCGATTATACCTTTACGTATATATTAGCGGGGGCGGAAGGATCATTTAACGATACTTCGCTTTTTGCCTATACGTTTAAAAAATCCTTTCGTATATTAGAGTTACGATATTATATAACGGATACGGGGTTTAGGACGCGGCTAGGCATTATAATTCCCTTCTCGAATATTAAATACTATTTATAAAACTAGAAAAATGTAGATAAACCGCTAGAAATAGCAAAGGAATTATATAATTTATATTACGCTCGCATTTATATTATTATAGAGTAAGTCTTTAATTTCGTTAAAAGAAAGTAGAAAATTGTAAAGGTCGTATTTATCGAATATAATATAAAAAATGAGTTTAAATTATATACGCAATAATTAGGCTTTATAATTTTATCGTTTCGTATTCGAAAAAGAAACTGAGGGTATTAATATAAATAGAGGAGAGGATACTAAAAATAGCGCGTTAGCGAACGGAATAATCAGTAAGGGGTATTTATTCTAATAATATCTATTATAATGCGGCTTAATTAATAAATAAGTAATAGTAATCGATTCGTAGAGGGTAGAGGGGAGGGCAAAGGAGGGAGGAGGAGGGGAGATGGGGATTCTTATATATAAAATCGAATTATTTTAGCAAAATTATATAAAATCGAATTATTTATACAAATTGAATAATATATATAAAGATTTCTATATAAAATTGAATATTTAATTTTAATTACATTTTATTAATATTTTACTATAAAAAAAAAGGGTATTTACTTCTATAATTCTTAGTAAAATTATTAAATTTCTAACTTTCATCCCCTCTTTCTAAATCCCTCTTTTTTATTTATCTATATACGCACCCTTCATTACCTCGTTCAACCTCATCTACATCGTCGCGACTAGCGGATTATTTACAAAATAATTAATATAAGCTATTATCTCCAATTTAATTATCTTTTTAGTAAAGCGCATTTATAGATTATCGATAGTAATACTAACGTTAACTATACTAGGAAATTTAAGAATTTATAATAAGGCCGCCGCTTTTTCTATTGAATTCCCTAATATTATTACATTAAACCTCTTTTTACTTACTTCTCCTCCCTCTACGTTTACGAGCGCAATAATTTAATTAACTAGAATCTTATTTAAATTAATAATAAAACGGTATCTCTAAGCCTAATTTATTATTAACACGGCGGTAACGGCGGTAGCGACGGCGGTAGCACGCCTTTTTAAAATCGTTATAAATAATTTAAATTTATTATTATCCTCCTCCTCCTCGCCCTCGTTAAACTTCTCCCCGCTAACGTTTTACTCCTCTTCCCCTACTTCCTCCCCTACCTTTACGTAATCAAATAAATTATTATCGTTTATATTTTCCTTAAAATTCTAATTAACGCCGGTACTAAATATATCCTCTTATTATGTTTTATTAATTATAGTAATATCGAATCCCGTCCCCTTCGCTTTAAAAAAGACTTATTTATATATATTAATATTATTAAGAGGCTAGCAACGGATTTAATTAACTTTATACGTTTTAATAGTATAATATTTAACGAAAAATTCCTAATATTCGTTTAAAATAATAAGCAATTAAATATTAGAGTCTAAGCCAATATTAAAATACTTAGAGAAAAGGCTTTACTATATTCTATATTGACGTATTTTGACCTTCTATTTATTATTAATATATTTAAAATCCTAATAATAACCCGGCTACGTTTCGATATATATTTCGATAAAGTAATTCTACGCGTCCCTATAATCTTTAGTATAAATACTATTAAATTATCCCTTAATCCTACAATATAGTAACTATTCTATAAAAGTAGCGGTAGTTTTAGGGGTAAACCTCATAAATTTAATACTATCGAATATAGGCGCCGCCGCTTTACTTTTTACCAGGGCTTTAGGTTTCTTAGGCATTATCTTATTCGCTAATTTAGTTAGCTCTTTCCGTTTAGCTTTAATTATAAATTAGGTTAACGGAAGAATATCCTATATAGTTGTAATTTAAGAAGCGGGGGGATTGAGTACTAGTTTTTAAATTGGCTAATTTAATATAATAATTAGGGAGGGGAAAGGAGGCGGCTAATTATTATTATAGCTAGCGGGCACCGGGTTATTAAAAATATTCAAATAGGTTCTAATAATAAGTCGTCTTCTATTAAACCTAAAGTTAGGGGTTAAGTATAGAATTAGGACAAATCGATACCCTCTATAGCGTTAAAAGGCTCTATGAAATCTTAGGAATCTATAATATTTAATCGTTTAGTCGATTACTAGTATTATTTACTTCCTTTACAATATTACGACGACGACAAGCAACAAGGTCAGCCCCTCTTTCTGAAAGCAGTGTGGATTCTTGGGCATTAATTATACTAAAAAAGGTTACTCCAACGCTAATACGGGCACCCCAGTCGACTCTAGTTCAAATACCCCCTAAAAAGCAGTACAATTGCTAGCTCGCTTGGCTGCAGGGCACCAGATTGTACTGAAATATCTGTGTGCTCGATGCCAGCACATCCAGCCGATCAAGGCCCAAGTTTGAGCTGCCAGGCTTTGAAGTGACAAAGCCAGGGGTCCTCTTTCTGTGTGTAACTGACAAGTACACCACGAACAACCAACCGTTGCCTGATGTTGCGCTTGTCGCGCGTTTCTTGTCGCAATATCGAAGCGGGCAGTAGATAACTGCAAGTGAGAGATAAAGAGAGCCGCCGAGAAGGGAGATCAACGAGGAAACAATGCCTTATCTGGTATTTGTTTGGGGTTCCATTATATCCCGGGCCTGCCTTTCGCGAATGAAACCCGCTTGTCTGGAATCTTATCAGTGGCATGGCATAAACACATGTGCCGCATCAGCCGTCCAAGATAATGTTGGGCGTCAAAGCGGCAAAGACGTGATTCCGATGTTCATGGTGCAATGTGTTGACAATGATTGGACTTTCTGACATGATGGATCAAGAGTTGCTGTGTCGAAAGCGTCGTTGATGGAGATCGATGCCGAGTATTGATGGCGTCGACGATTACGACAGTGACGACCATTAAACGTGCTCAATGGTGGAATACATGTGAATTATGGTCCATTAAGAGGTCGAAATGGCAATAGCCGTCACGGTCGAAGCTGAAAAGGGTTGAGGTGTACACGATAGAGGGAAAGAGGGAAAGGTCAAGACAGCTGGAGGGATTGACGTCGGGTCTTACAGCCCTATGTTATCGATAAGAGGAAATGCGATAAGATAACAAAAAGATGGGGTTACGGTCCGTGCGGATGCACGCCTGGTCATCGCCGGCTAGCTTTCCGCGAACCGCCCGAACTTTTGCGACAAGACGACGGGGGATCTTGAATCGAAGAAACCTCCAGCCTGCCTTGCGCCCAATTGGATTCCACTCCCGACAATCATCGAGCTATCCAGGGAACCCGTTCCCCCGAGAAATAGCCCTCACAATGGCCTCCCAACCACCATCATCAGAAACTCCCGCCGCGACGACGACGACACCAGAAAACCCCGTCGAAATCATTCCCTCAGCCGAGAACCACTACGGCACGCCCAACCTGCTCCACAACTCCGCCATCATCGTCTCCGTCCTCGCGCCCATCGGCCTCCTCCTTCCCGGTCGCGGACGAGGGCAGTTCTCCGTCCAGAACGCCATCCTAGGCTCGGGCACCTTCTGGGGCTTCAACCAGCTCTCGTTCGACTACACGGGCAAGTCGATCTACCAGCGGTCCAACGAGAAGTGGGCCAAGGTGCTGTCTACCGGCGACGCGTTGCCGGAGCAGGCCAAGAAGAACAAGGCTTTGATCGAGGCGGAGAGGGCGAGGAGGAAGCTTGCGCAGGAGCAAGCGGAACAGAAGGAACATGCTGAGAAAAATGGTGGTGTCTTGACCAAGATTTGGATGGGTGATGAGAAGGAAGGGTGGAAGGAGAAGAGGTTGGAGGAGGAGAAGAAGGCGCTGGAGAGTGGAAAGGGATACGGGAGCTTGATTATGGATCAGATTTGGGAGGTTTGGAATCAGGAGGGTAAGGATAAGAAGAAGGATGGTGATGATACCCCGAAGAAGGAGTAAGAGGAGAAAGAGGAGGAGGAAAAGAGGGAGGATGTTTGATTACTGAGATAGGAGCCTTCTGAATGGGTTACGGTAGGAGGACATGGATGAGGAATGATTACTGCATACTACATTTGACAACTGAAAAAGTGTTGCCGCTGAGGATGCCTGGATATGACGGAGAAAACGTCTCGCTGTACGATACTGTTCAAAAGAAAGCGGTCGAGGTTAAAGTTATGGGATTGGGCGTATTTGTCGGGCTGCGTGAGACTGATACCTTCTCCCTCCTAGACTTAAAGGCACACGGAGAGGACGAGAGAGGCGGGAAAAAAATAATATGTACAATACAATAATATCTCATATAAGAAGAATCAACAGAAATCCGACGATGTGATGGAATGCTAGGGTATATTCGACGACATACGTTGTTCCGCCACCGAAATTCCACTAAATATATAGCACACTCGAGTGCAACCATAAACAGTTCGTTGACAAGCAGCATCTAGGTAGGTATCTCTAACGACCAACGCCCCCATCCGGATAGCCAGAGATAACCGTAGTAGACAGCAATCCTCATCTCCAGCTCGCTCATTCAAATCCCGGCGGGTTTGCGTCATTCCTCGCCTTTCGCCTTCCTCCGTAGCTTGCTCACAAACTTTTTGTGCGCGACTGCCTTCCGGGTTTTCTTCCTCCTTTCCCGGTCCTCTTCCGCCTTAATCCTATTATACAACCACGCATCGCATTTGGCATCGATCTCCGGATGCGGTTTTGTGTCGCCGACTGGGACGCCCATCTTCTTCTGCAGACCCTCCTTGAACCGCTGTAGGAGCTTCATCCGCCGCCGCTCTATTTTAGACGGCTTCTTCTTACCGGCCCATTCGGCATCATCGTCCAATTCGTCTTCCCATTCGTCCGGGTTCTCTTCTGGTGAGTCGTTTTCTCGAGGGTCTTCTGGCGTCCGGACAGCGTTTTGCTGCGCTTGTGCTGGGACCTCCCGGGGCAATTCTGTCGTGTTCCTTGGTTGTGCGGACGATGTCTTCCCCAGCTTGCCCAGTGCTTGGAACACGTGTTCTGAAACTTCCGACTGCCCTTGGTTGATTACTGCCCTCGCATTCCTCGAGACCGGTGACTCTTGTTGTGGCGAAAACGAGACCTCTTCAGCGACTGGTTCCGACACACTATCCAATGCCTTCAACTTCTCCAAGCTTTCCTTCGCCACCCTTTCCTTTACGTTCCAGGGCTTCTTTTCCTTCTCGATCTGCTCGAATTCATGTTCCCAAGCCTTCTCGGCGGCCTGCGATGCCATGAAGATCCTCGCCTCCTTGGCCTCCCGTCTGACATCTCTCTTTAGCGCCCTGACAGCCCGCGACTCCTTGGGTTGGAACTGACTGTCCTTCCCCTTCATCTCCTGCCAGCGCGCAATCGCTTCCTTGGCGGTGCGGGGTGTGATTTCCGATCTTTCGGGGTCGATGGCGGATGTGATATCGGGACGTCCAGCGGCGTGCCGCCTGCTTGTTTCCTGTTCCAAGAGGGCGATGTTGCGGGCGGTCTTTCTTCTTCTTCTTTCCTCGGCTTTGTCCTTGTCGCGACGTGCAAGACTCTCCTCTCTCTTCTTGAGCCATGGTTTCTTAGGCTTCTCTTGCTTTGGTGACAGTATCCTCGAAAACTCATCTTCCCCGTCATCGGTCGAGCGAGCCTCTTTGGTCTGCTTAGAGCGATGGAGTTTCCCGTGGCTTTTGGGCTTCTCAATCTGATCGTTGAAAAAATCTTGAAGGGAGCCCCATTCCCTGGATTGATCGTCAGAATAAGGCCTTGCGCAAGAAAGTGGTTGATGTGATGAGACGTGTGGTCGAAAGGCGATGTGAGGTGATGGTCTAGCCCATAGTGAAAGTCGGCTGGTGAAGGCGCCCTTTAAGGGGCGTATTGTTGACATGGCAGGTCAAGCCCAGCCGTTTCGGTAACGGTGGTATATAGGTACAGAGGCTCTTCAAAAGGGCAGGTTGATCTGACTCTATGAAGTGATGGAGGACTTGGTGAAGTCGGCTCTGGATAACAGCCGGAGTGGAGAAAATGAGGTTATCGATAACGGGACTGAAGCACCGAGCATTTTTTGCTATTAGAACCATGCACTTGACCCATTTGGCTGCCCCAGTCAATTCGGTTCCCGACCCGTTCCGTTGTCGTCGTCCAAGTGACCCTTCCTTCAGATCCCGTCTTGGAGTGTGGCTTTGAAAGGCGATGAGTTGCACATTTCCCTTTTTGAGTGTTTCAGCCCATAATGCTTGTCCGTTGATCTGCATGCCGCCCCGTTCCACGCGCATGCACTGCCATGTCCTGATGAGCTTACAAGTGGCCGTGTCACTTGATAGTCTTTCACCAGAGCTCAGCTCTTCAACTGCTTGCTCGTGTTCAGGAGCCTGACACATTCGTCATCTCTTTTGGAGGCTATTCTTTTTTTAACTGTACTTGTTCCCTTGTCTCGCAACCCGAATCTGTTGTTCAACTCTTGGACCGGTGCTCGACCACATTCAACCCTTTGATTTGTCAACAGTTACTGCGCCGTCCGTTGAGCCCTACAACATTGCGTACCAAACGGCATTCTGCATTGCGGCTTGCAATTGATTAAATCGGCAGTCGCCGTCCCGAAACAAACGCACTGCCGTCATCTTGCATTCCACCATCTCCAAGTTCCAACATCCAACATCCATCCACCACAACCTATCCAACTCTCACAGGCAGTCCGCGTCCAAGCGCTCCCGCTCCCGCTCGCTCCCTTGTGCCTGGCCTGGCCGTTGAGGTACGAAACCATACGAACACGCGGAACCTGGATCCCGAGATCCCGACCCAAGCGCTGCGTGCCTGCAGTAGCAGTGGACTAGAAGGACCAACTAGCGAACAAATACCTGGAAACGACGCTGAAGAAAACGAGCATCGTCGGGGATCCCCTTGCCTCTAGCTCTAGCTAGACAAGTCCAAGCCTAACTGGGTAACTGCCAAACACGCCCACCTCCACCAGCCTCACCTCGTCCGATTTACCAATTTCAAGCTCGGGCTACCAGGACTTCTTCGATTTCTTTACCTCTTGGTCGCCAGTCGCTCGTTCATTATCAAACCTCGCTTCGATATTCCTGTCTCTACGCTTGCGCTGCCAAGAGGCTGTCACCGTTTGCTTTTTCGAAACCGATCCGCGACACATCCGTTTTCACAGTTTTTTGGGAATGCGATCAATCTCCCCGTCTGCGGGTTGGACAACTTGAATCAGACGAACGTCGAAACGTCTGCCCCGCGACGTCCCGCATACACCTTGCGCACGCTGAACCGACGACGACACTTCCAACAGACAAGGGCGACGACGCCACCGTGAGACAAACATGAACGACCACGAATACTACAGCCAAAAGCCGCTACCCATACCCGGCCAGTCAACGAGCTACCATGGCGGCGGCACCGGCTATTATAATCAAAATCACGGCCAGGGGCAACAGCCCATGCCAACCTCCTACAGCGCAAACTCCCAATCGCCCTTCGATACCGTCTTCGACGACCATGTCTATCCCGCATCTTCACATCAGTCCGGCGCTTCTTCAAGCCGACAACATCTAAGTCAGCAATACCAAGACACGGCCTACCACGGCCCCGTCCGTGTTCCCTCCGAAGAAGATATAGCTTACAATCATCCCACAGATGACATCCCTCTGGAGGACCGCAGCGGCGGCAGAAACAAGAACAATGACCCCGAGATGCAAGATCACGTCTACGATGCGCCCCAACCACAGCAAAAGAAGCCACGAAGCGGTCGTATTAGTATGGGACAACTAGGAATGCATGGCTCGAATGCGAAGAGGATACCCTTTGTTGTTTACTTCTTTACCACCGTCCAGGTGGCCGTATTCATCGCCGAACTCGTCAAGAACGGTATGATCAAAACCAACACAGACAGAGGCAATAGCTAACTCATGCAATCATCGTGTATCTAGGCATGGCCACCGGATCACCCATCATGATCAAGCCCACATTCAACCCCTTCATCGGTCCATCCAGCTACATGCTCATCAACATGGGCGCCCGCTGGGACCCGTGCATGCACGCCATCCCGGGGGTCCAAAACGCAACACAGCCGATTAGCTGGCCCTGTCCAAACACCACAACCTACGACGTCAATGCCCCGACCATGAAGTGTACCCTTTCCGAACTATGCGGCTTTGGCGGCGTCCCCGAGCCCTGGTACAACGCCACTGCGACCATGGAAAACGTTCCCGCACCCGACCAGTGGTGGCGCTTCATCACCCCGATGTTCCTCCACGCCGGAGTAATCCACATTGGCTTCAACATGCTTCTCCAGATGAGCATCGGAAGGGAGATGGAGCAGTCGATCGGATCGATTCGCTTCTTCATCGTTTACGTCACCGCTGGAATTTTCGGGTTCGTGATGGGCGGAAACTTTGCAGCCAACGGCATGCAGACGACGGGTGCGTCGGGCGCCCTTTTCGGTGTCATTGCTCTCTTGCTATTGGATTTGCTCTATTCATGGAGGGACCGCAAGAGCCCCTGGAAGGATTTGCTGTTCGTCATGCTCGACATCGTCATCTCTTTCGTGCTCGGTCTGCTTCCGGGTCTGGACAACTTTGCCCACATTGGTGGCTTCTTGGCCGGTCTCGCCCTGGGAATCTGTGTGTTACAATCGCCAAACGCGCTCCGCCGTCGTATCGGTGACGAACCGCCTTATTCGCAGGTTGTTGACACCAACGGCTTCCTGAGGCAAGGGGCACCGCCTTCTTTCTTCAGTAATCCTGTCGGGTTCTTCAAGGGTCGGAAACCGCTGTGGTGGGTTTGGTGGCTGGTCAGGGCGGCTTTCTTGACTCTTGCTGTCGTCATCTTCATCTTGCTTCTTAACAACTTTTATGTGGATCATAAGGAGTGCAGCTGGTGCAAGTATTTGAGTTGTCTGGTAAGTTTCTTTCACCCGCTCCTGTAAGACGAAGGTGAAAACTGACTTTCACCTCTTTTTTTCATAGCCCGTCAAAAACTGGTGCGAAGATGGAAACTTGCAAATTACGACCACAAATAACAAGCGCGACCTTGTTTTTGCTGCTGGTTTGGAGCAGTTACCGAGGTTTTATGCTCACTTTGCATAAACAAAATATTTCTAAAGCTTAACGTTATTAGCTCTTCAGGCCACTTTGGATATGGAGAGAGTGGCAAGAATACCGATGCTTTCCCATTTTCTGCTTTATTCATTACCTGGGCTTTTTCTACAAACAATCTTGAAAACACGAGGCTACGTTCGTGCCAACGTACAGAAGGGAGTGGTGGTTTTAGTTGTTCTCGAATATTTGCATAGCATTGGCGTTGAAGGGATGGGACTACGAATTTGTTATTTGATTCAGGATATTGATTGGGAGGTGGTGGGTGGTTGCTTTGAGAGGACGGACGATGCTCTCGATCCATAAAATTGCCGAAGGATGTTTGTTAGACAACGGCATCTGGAAACCAAATCGAAAATATAATGATAGTAGTATTTATCTTACAGAGGTGTGTGGTCTTCGGAGAGATAATTCTAGCCAGACATTGCCGTGATTAGGTAGCTAACTGGGTTAAAGCCTCCACCATCTGACGTTGCCCACGGGGAAGAGGGATCGTAAGTACTGGATTCCTGTTCGATTCGACTCCCCGGGCCTTTCAAGTTTTGTTCCACTGAACGTGTCTCAGGGGTTAGTTAGGTTTGTTCAACCCAGTAGACCTAGGTGGAAAGTAAACAAACTACCGCTTACGGCAAAGATCGCAGGTCGTGGTGCCTCCCTCACTGTCACAGCACGTTAGAATTATGGGCAGACGCATCCCAAAAGATTCAGACGAAAGTATTACACAGTAAGATATTAAAGGCGAAGAGGAAACTAGTCTAGTCTACACTTGGGTAGATGGTGGGAAAGGGGATCTTGTGTGTGCAATGGATGCCAGATGGGATGAAAGACGCAAAGATCAGATGGAAACACAGGATCTAACAGGTGTTGTTGGCATGTGCCATCACACTCTCACCAGAGAAGAGAACAGATGCGGCGTAACGATAAAATACCAGCATATTTAGTAAAGGACACAGAAGGCAGCCAGGGTATTTCGGTTTTTTTCTTCTAAATAATGGGAAATCCCAATCAAATGCGATGCTATCAATTCAAAAATGCTTTTTGCTTCTTCTAGTGGTGGTGGTACAGAGTGATGATATGTGATGGGGGATGAGAGCATTTACAGAGTTTCTCCTTACATCTCCACTTCACATGTGCTTGCTTTTTTACAACATGGCGCCCTCTTTCTTCTTCTTCCTCTTGACAGCTCAATCGGACTTTTCCTGGGGCTTGTAGCCCTCGGGCTTTTCCTCAGACTTTCTGCTCTTCAGCCGCAGGTTGGTCCTCAGACTTTTCCTCAGGCTTATTGTCCTCAGAAAAAGCCGCAACATCCACCTCCACCTCACCCTCCTCAGCCCCCTCCACCTCCTCCACCGGCAAACTGCCATCATCCTCCTCCACCTCCTCCGGGCTCAGCTCAATCGTGCCGCTCTCAACATTCTCCGCCTCCTGCCCATACCACCGGTAACTCATACCCTCCTCCTTACCCTCGCCAAAGACCGACTCCCAATCAAGCGGCTTATCCATACCGTACACGTGCACAGGCCTGGTTTTCCCAAGCTCGATCTCCTTCTGGCGGTGCAACCGACCCTTACGCGTGTACTTGTCCAGCGCGCCCTGGAACATCTCGTACCAGGCTTTGTCGCGGTCCTCCTGGTCGTTGAGCGTCTTGCTCCGCCTTTGGATCACCATCTTGTAGATGGTCTCGGCTCTCAGGGTCGGCATGTCCTCGAGCGAGTACTCGACCTCCCACTTGTCGGTGCGGCGCAGGTGCTCGGGGCGCTCGACGTACTCGCCGTTGACCTTGTTGCGGATGGTCAGGATCATGCCGAGGAGTTCGGGCTTGGTCTCGGGGAGGATCGAGTTGTCGTTGGTCTTGGTGTGCACGGTTTCGTCGAGGGAGGCAAGTTCGTCCTCGGGGTTCTGCGACTTGGTCGTGGCGGAGGCGGAGGCGTCGGTGGCGGTGGTGGGTTGTTCACCTTCGGTGATCTCGCCGGCCTCGGTGGTGTCCCGCGACTTGGAAATGAGCTCTGAGAGGATAGTCTCGAATTTGCGGAGCTTGGAGTCATCCGCCGCCGCAGCGGACACGTCGTCTTCAGCTTCGCCCTTGGCAACTTCACTGCGGTCGGCCTTGACCTGGCTGGCGAGGCGAAGGACCAAGTCCTTCAACGTGGGCTCCTCCTCAGTCTCAGCTGCCTGTCCAGCCTCAGTCTTTGTGTCTGTAGTCTCCTCAGCAGCGGTCACAGACTCAGATTCCTCGGCTAAACTATCAGCCGCGGACTCATCGGCCTTGCCCGACTCGGCGCTTGTGAGGGCCTCAAGAAGCTCGTCCAGATAACGACGCGCTTCCTCGGGGGCGCTGGCTTCGAGCAGGCCACTCGAGCGAAGGGCCTGCTCAATAGCTTCGCGGACCGAGGTGACGCCGTGCTCTTCGTTTTCGAGGGCCTCCTCCACCTTAACCACCATGTCCTCCCAGACGTCCGCTGTGGTGACCTCTTCACGGGCTTCAGGTTCACCGACAGACTCCTCGGTCGCTTCCTCCACGGCCTCCTCAGTTGTCTTCTCATCAGCAACCCCCTCTTCCTTCTCTCCCTTCGGTTCCAGGCCCATCATGTCGCGCTCAAACTTCTCAATGATCTTCTTGTTGGCTCCCTGGATCTTCTCGATCTCATCTGGTGTGACCGGCTTGGCAAAGATGTACATGAGCGGAGGGTCAGTTGGCCTGGTCTCAATGTGAAGGCGCAACGACTGCTCTGGCCACTTTGCGGTAGCCCTGTTCAGGATCTTGTTGAGCAGATGGAGACTGAGTTTGAACTCCTTGTTACCGAGGTTGGTGTCACGGGTGCCGTGCAAAGAATAGTCCATGTCGGTAAGAGGGATGTACTGGAAGCCGAAAATCCGCTGGGTGTTGTGGAAGGCAACAAAGATACCGTCCATACGACCCATGCGGACTTGGAGGGAGTACTTGAGGAAAGCAGAACGGATCATGTCAAAGTATTCGCGCTCAAACGATTCCCAGTTACCGTTCCGGTGGCGGATCTCGTATCCCAAGCCCTTTTGGAAACCCTTGGCATCCATGCGGATAGAGATAACGGCTCTTGTCTTGAGATCGAACATGCCGGTGCCGGGAATTCTGGGATCGTAGGCATCGAGCTGTGACCGCATCATGAAGTCTCCCAACTTGGTGTAATGGTATGACTCGGGGCTGTCACGTTCCTCTTCGGTGAGCTGGTGAGACTTGGTCTTGCGATACTTCTCAAAGTCTTCCTTAGGCAACGTAAGAAGCTTTTCCATGGACTTTCCGAGCATGCTGAGGATGTTTGCTGTGTCGAATTCCTTGTCCGCATCGATTGCGTATACACCATCCTTCCAGTGAAGGAAGGCAGCTGAAGGGGCGCGCATGATCCTGGTAAAGTTTGTCGAATCGGCCCTGAACGACTGAGACATCATGCCGGTGGTGATGGGTCGCCATGAGGACAGAAGATAATGGAAATGCGCTAGTGTTGAGGTCATACTCGAGGTAGAGCCCGTATACTTCTTGTTCGCCTCTCGTGCGATGTCGATAAGGGTGGTATCCTTTGAAGATGTGATATATTGCTTGAGCGCGTTGAAATCGAACTCCTGGATTGGCATGATGCGCGCAAGATAGGGGTCGAAATTCCACACCCGAGACCTAGGATCCTGCATGTGGTAAACTCCAGGGTTGAACAGAGCCCTATCCAAGCCATAAGACAAACCTGGTACAGGAGGTTGCTCTTTATGGACCGGTACCATTCTGATCAAATCGGGATCAACCCGTCGCACGTGGAGCTTTCTTCCCGGAGGCGGCCATTGTAAATCTTCAGGTGAGCGGGCCTTTGGTTCGGCCGATGCCCCTTTTGTCTGCTGCTTTGTGGTCGCCGCCGACGTGTCCGGTGTTGAAGTTGCAGCTGCTGCTGCTGCCGTTACTTTTGCCAAAACACCCGGGTGCTTCAGTTTACCGTCAGTCGGATGTCTTCTTATCAAACTCTTGGGTTCCGTGGGTTTCGTCTCTGTTGATTTCTGTTTCTTCTTCTTGCCATATTTAGACTTGTCCTTGCCCGCCTCCGATCCCATGCTGTCCTGCTCGGCACGCAGCTCCTTTTCAAGTACTTTTCGTAGTACCGCCGTAGCTCGTTGCATCAGTTTGGGATCATTGGCAACAGCAGCAGGAGAACTGCTTGGCTTCGACTTCTTCGCCTGTTTCCCCTTTTTCTTGGAACCCCCCTCTGCCGCTGCTGGTGTGCCATCTTGAGCGCCGTCTGTCGTCGTGGGTTCAGGCGTTTCTGGTGTTTTTGTCGTTGCCTGTTTTTGTTGCCCAGCGTTCAGACTTCCTGTCTCGAGGTCCTTCAAGAAGTTGGTCAACGGCTGTGTATTGGGCGCCCCGCCTCGCTTCTTGGTGTTTTTACTCCTAAGAGCCCGTGGGTGTAGGCGCTGCTTGCCCGGTGCAGGCTTGAAGTCGTTGTCTTTCAGTTCGGGAGTGTTGGCGTCTGAGCTCGGCTTGTCTGGCTGCTCCGTCGAGTAGAGCCTAGCAGGATTGTAGAGAGGAGCGGGCCTTGGGTGAGCATTCGAGATTAGGGTGAGACATGACGTGCGGAGAATGTGCGGCTTAATCGTGCGGCGCGTCTTGCTGGTCAGTTGCAACATCTCTGCGACTTCGGGTCGGCGTTTGCGACTGAAATCGAGAATCCGAACTGGGTCGTGCTTCGGATGGTCACTCTGCGATCGGACAGAGAGGAAGCGAGCGGAGGATGGATTGCCGTAAAGTAATCCCTGCCAACGCTGCCAGCACAACGTCTTCCGCGTCCAAGGATGAAGGAGGGGGAGGGCGGAGAGAGAAGAAAACGAAAAGGAATGGCTTGGTTGAAGGTCCGGTTTCTCGGAGGGGTCTGGTCTAACTTGGGGCAAAACAGCGACAATCTTCTTTCACACTACAGGACCATGGTCACTATCGTTATCGGTCTCGTCTCTATCTGGATTTATTTTTTTGCTGGGGC